AGCAGCGAGCCCCGCAACATCCCGCCAACACGGTACCCAGACCCCACGCAGCATTCTCATCAGTTTGTCATTACTGGTGTCATTTTCTGGTTGCTAACACCATTGTAACACATAATCACTGATGTTCACCACCGTTACAGCTGAACATCAGCGAGACACAGGAACTCAGCCTGAGCACACAAACACACACTCACAGCCATGCTGTGTGTGTAAATCCACGGAGCCGCAGCTGAGAAAAGATAAGGCTGAGTGAGAGTGTGTGTGTTACGCCACTATGCCCGTTACGTCACTTTACTCAGGAAGAAGTTCTGGGGCAGCATAGACAGGTCTTTTCTGTGTTAGAGTTTTACTCGCTACAGGGTGTACTTTGAGGGTTTCTGACTCTGCAGACCGTTTACATGCAGAAAAAGCTACATAACACACAAGGGGACGGGGAATAACCGGGAAAGCATGACATGGGACCTTTAAGTGGAGGAAGCTCCTTAGAGACAATGATCTGGCCATCAACTGTAGTTCAAATTATATTTGCTCTGAAACTCCAGATGACATAAAAACCTGGCAACTGCAAACGGGGTTGTCATACTCGGTGGAAAGGTAGTCTTAACTATAAACTCAGATCTATAAGACCCCAGTTCAACATTAACGAAAACACCCCAACTTTAAACAATGTCCGTTTAACTATTTTTTCCTTGGTACACCGCCATTCCTCTCTGGTGCGTAACGCTGCCACTTCTGCACTCCAACCCTGAATGTCAATTCCGTCAGCCTGCGGTCAAATTGACGAGCAGCAGCTGAAAAAAAAGAAGTTACATTTTTTGTTTATTGAAATAATAAGAAGAAGAAAGCTGCAATGGATGCGTTCCAGTGTGTACTGTTTAGTGTACTAGGTTTTCAGGCGGCCTTAATTGAGCAATTCACCCATCAACCACATCTTCATATAATTGATTCACACTATTACTCATTTCTGTCTACTCGCTCTGTGTCTCAGAGGACGGTAGTGGACAGTTCAGAAACGTGCCCATCAGTGACATCATCAATGGTCATTTCCAATTTCCATTAGCTAGGAATAATGTCACTGGTAGGCAGGTTTCTGAACTGTCCACAGCCCACCTTTGAGATGCAGAGCGAGTAGACATGTTGCCATCCTATTATGAGCATTAATGAGGACCACTTAGATGAAGATAAGGATAAGAATGGATGCATTTTGCATCCATTCTTATCAACTTGAGAAATAAATGTAAAAGACTTATGAATTAAATAAAATATTTGCCAAATCTGTTGTAAAGTAGTAAACCTAGTATTTTGAGGTGCAGGCTCACCAAACATGCAGTCCTTTATCAGCGTGTCCTTGAAGGCCCTCTTCTCTCCCTTTCCCACCCAGTTGAAGATGCAGGCTAGACTGTTTGTCATGGCAGCGGATAGCATTCGCCGGATCATATTTTCCGAGTTGGTTCCTCCGACTAATGCCAGGCGGGTAATCTTAACAGACGAGAGAAAATGATTAGTGTGCTACAGTGTACTATGTAAATAGACATCTTCTCATTTATAAATAAATACAAATGTAATGAATTTGAATACATTTGTATTACCTCTAAGGAAGAAATATGACCACTACTGTGTCCAAACTAATCGACAAACAATGCCAACAACCAAATTGGCAATCCTAAGAAATTGTCAAATATTGATTAAGAAAAATATTATCGTGATTCGCGAGGCGTATTTTTACAATATTTCTGTTAAACACACATCCAAGTGAAAAAGAAATGTAATGCATCCACTCCTACAATTCCAGACATAAGCCCTTAAGATTTCAAACAAGAAATGTAAGACTTTTAAAACTTATAAGGATCCACAGGATACCTGCAAATGCATACAGAAAATATTAGAAGCCTCGACAGATTATAGAGAAAATGCTTTGTGTAAAAATTGTTCACCATCTTTCGACGGACTGCTTCCTCCCTCAGAGCAGCTTCAGTCTCATCAAACTTCTCCTCGTTGGTGAGTGGAAGCATTATGGGGAAGTTGTCTTCTTGTGACTCTGGTCCAGCTCCATGAATGTTTAGTTTAGCAAGTTCCGTCTTTATAAAGTTAATGTCACGTGAGATCTGCTTCACCTCCATACATAGCTCGGTAAGCATCTTCGTGGTTCTCATGGCAGCAATGTCTTGAAAAATAAAGGTTTTAATTTACCTTTCAAGGATAGATTTTTAATTTCCAATCATTTAGAATGACACTAACCCTCTGGAGTCTAAGGGTATTTTCTCGATTTTTAGACGTTTTCTTAAATCACCTTTTAAATGTATTTCTTCTAAAATGGCACCCCATGTGTTAAATATCAAAATGTTCAGGACAATCTTTGGTATTGCTATATATGCAAATGACTCACCTTAGAGCATTGTTTGATGAGATAAGTAGCTCAAAAGCTTAAAATGTGACATCCGATTTTCGGAAAATCTTCAAAACTTTTGTGAAAACACAAATTTACTCATGTGATCGAATTGTTTTGGTATTTTAGATTAGGTTACCAAAGTCTTAGGATCACAAAAGCAGTGAAATATTTGAATTACACTGTATATAAATGTGTTATTCATGTCTAAAATGAAAAAAATTCGAATTTTGAGTAAAATAGGTGTTTATCACTCTACTTTCACCACAGCAGGGGCTGAGATACATTAGGACTGAATAATGACTTCATATTACATACCAAGGTTCATGTGATGTGTACAAATACAAATTGAGCATTCAACCTTTTTTTTCAACCAACAATTTATTATAAATATGTTTTTTTCAACCAACTATTTATATAAATATAAGAAACTGGAAAATCTAACTATTTACAATATTGAACATCAGAACTTTCAACCAACTATTCATTATAAATGTCAAGACAGTGTCAAGGTCTTTGTCTGTCTTCCAAGACAGTGGGTCTGGCTGCTGTGAAGATGGGGGTGATGGTGCATGGGCTGCTGTGTAGGTGGGGTGTACAAGTGCTATACGAGACCTCCACGAGACCTCCTTGCTGGCTGGGTTGAAGGTGATGGCTGTGGTGGAGCCTTTGTGCTGAGGTGTATCTTGACCTGGTGGCAGCCGCAGATGGAGGTGGAGGCAGCTGTAGTGATGCTGGTCTGCTGGTCCTTGGTGGTGATCGCTCTGGTGAAGGCCCTTGAGCCACGGTAGATCTTGACCTGGGGGCCGGCACAGATGGATGTTCTGGCTGCTGGATAAACGCTGCCTGTGGGCCACTAGGCCCAGACAGCTGTGAAACCTCTCTGTAAAACAAATTAAAATGTAGGACAATAATTACAACTAATTTCATTGAAATAAAGTTCAAGTAAAATGTTGCTCAAGCACAAATAACAATGCACAAATAAAAAGAAAGTTTGGGAGGTTGGAGAAGGAACACACACACACACACACACACACACACACACACACACACCTAGGTATTTCCAGTTACTTTACATTCAGTATACAATCACAGACACACAAATACATAGGCTACATCTGATTACAAAGTCTCATCTGATTACAAAGTCTCATCTGTATAGGACGGTAAAATAATAACAGGCACACATATAAATAAATCTATGACAAAGTCTCATCTGTACAGAACAGTATGATAAAATAATCGATGGCAAAAACATGTCACTGTAAATGTCTCCGTTGTGGGACGAATAAATGATTAATTGAATCCTCTACACATGTAATCTCACGTTTACACACCAAAATAACGTTAACACAGAGTAAACATTTGCTAATGGAGAGTCTTTTTTGTCCAATAAAAAGTTCATGACTCGATAAAAAATATATATCAATAAACCTATTGTTCATTTTCGCGGTATTCCCCACACATTGCCAGTACACTATTACTGTAATATTTACACTTACCCATGCCCAAATCGATCCTTGTTGTTGTCTTTGTATTCTTCTTCTTCAGAAGAGTCGAAGACTTCACGTTCTGAGGCTCTATCTTCACTGCTGCTAGCGAAAAAAATCTCTAGCGAAGTCGGCAACTGTAACGTTTTTTAGCCATTTTCTCTGTCTCTCTCTCTCTCCTCAAAGACGTAAACTGATGGGAGACACGTGGTTTATGTTTTGTTTACTTGGTGGGTAGGTCCTTAGTGATTTCTCGATGTCCATTGGTCATTTCAGACCATGATGGCTGCCGGCCGAGATTTCCTTGACGGACACACGAATCCACCAATCCACAGTGTAAAGTCAAGCTGCTTTGAGCGGCCATATTGGCTGCTGTGCCCTGGTTACAGTCTCACAGGACATACCGCTGGAAAGCTACTCTTCCAGTGATTCCGCGGATATCTAAATCATATTTCTACTCCTTATAATCGAAAATATATGATTAATTACGTAAAATTATGCGCACCTGGACGCGCCGGCGCATCCACCGACTCCAGAGGGCTAAGTAACTCACTGATAAGTGTTTGCCAACAGTAACCATTAAAGCAGCACTATGTAACTTTCCTATTCTACCCTGAATTTGAACACAGGTCTCCAGCACAACTGCTGAAATATTTACCACTGAGCTTATAGAGCCTGCCTGCTTGCTCGGGGGAGACATTGACCATAAAGTCATAATTTTTGTCAAACCAAGGTCATGTCTCACCTAGATAAAGGATCTAAATGTCTCAATAGAAGAGCAGGGAGACCAAAATCAACCACCCCAATTGTAAGTTATATTGTATTAACACTACCTTACAGATTGGACAAAATAACATTGTAATCACAAAAAGGTTACATAGTGCAGGTTTAAGTGCTTACATTTTAAGCCTTAACACCATGACAAAAAACATGAAAAGATGGGAAAGTCACAAGGGATAGGTTTCTCAATTCAGAAGGCATCAGTACGGTTAAGAACCTGCTCAGAAAATGATACTTGCCTTTCAACACTCGGCTTGATTCCCCTCCATATAATCTCCCCCGTGGTGTTTCTGGAGCTGAAGGGGGGTGGGATGGGTGCTGCGGGGTCAGGTGAGCCAAGCCCGGTGCGCTGAAGTCAGCTAATCTTGAGCCATGTGCATAGCTGGCACCGCCGTCTAAAAGATAAGACACCATTATTAATTGTTTATAAGTAAGCCATGAGAACCATTGGTTCTCATGGCTAGTGGCCCATAGGAGCCGATATCCTGTTTCCGCAGCATGATGTACAAGTACACCCCCTGGACATGATGCTAGTATGTCGCAGGGACTTAACCCAATCCAACCCTTGATACTGAGTGCCAAGCAGGGAGATATCGGGTACCATTTTTAACAGTCTTTGGTATGACTCGGTCGGCGATCAAACTCACAACCTCCCAATCTCAGGGCGGACACTAACCACAAGGCCACTGAGCTGGTATTAATTATTTATATTGAACATGAATTTGGGAATTTTCCAAAAAAAACAACATTTAAGATGAGAAATACATACCATTCCTTGCTTTCTCTAATGGCATAGCGTGGTAGGGGCTGGAGTTATATGTTGGCAATCCTAGAAAAAGAGAGAAATAACTAAATAAGGCAAATGAGCACTATCAAAGTTGTTATCCATGAGCACCATATAGCAATTGCACCTAGCTAGCCCCATATAGTTACTTTCCAACTTTAGATAAAGGAGACCTGTCGGATGAACACACTTGACTACCGAGTGAGTAATTAAAGAATAGTTTCCCACCTAAGGTGCTGATAATTCCTGTGATCCAAAGATAAAAAAAGACATATAATAGCCTATTAGTCTACTTAATAACGAGGGGTGCACTCAAGTGGCTGCCGATGACAATTTATTCAGGATACAGAAAATATGACCAACGTTTCGGACTGACTGAAACATTGGGTCATATTTCCGGTGTCCTGAATAAATTGTCATCGGCAGCCACATGAATGTGCCTGACTTTTACACCATTAGTTTACTTACCATCATTACAGTGGTCCATTGACTGGTCCAACTCCGCCAAATAGCTTCCACAAAAGCCTACAATTAGAGAACACAAAACATGAACTATGAATGCTGTAACTCGGACAAAGCACATTTACATACTGTCCGCCCGGAGGTAGTAGTGTGAAGTAGGGGTCGACCGATTATCGAGGCCGATATTCCGCATTTTACAGATTATCGCTATCGGCCTTTTTAAAAAAATCAAATTGCCGATAAAACTTTGGATCTGATGCGGCCGTTTCTCTGGTTGCAGTCACCACTCTGTGTTCACGAGCAATGTCCCGATCCAATTCTATCAGTTTCCCAGTTATACAGGGTAGCGTCTCGCAGCGGATAAACTGTGAGGGCGGGGGATTGCTAGTGGAGCCTCGCAGCAACTCTGCTTTCTGGACCACAATCTGGTGCTGCTGAATTGGGACTACTAAATGAGTGAGACTCAAATATCAGAAGTTCAGAACAAGTTTTAGTAGTTTTTATTTTATTTCTATTTAATTTACTTTACTCAGGGTCACAGAGAGGAAACCAGTTTTAAGATGTTGAAAAGTTCATCAAACATAAAAAGGCATTTCAAAGAAGTTGTGTTGGAGTTTGTGTTATTCTACAGTTTGAGACCAAGATTTTCTGATATTACTGCAAATGTATATCGGTTCCAAATATCGGTTATCGGTCTCGTTGATTACTAATAATCGGTATCGGCCTTGAAAAAGCCTTATCGGTCGATCCCTAGTGTGAAGTGGTTCACTTACCATTATCAGCCTGGTGAATTGACAGAACATCCTCCGAGTGGCTTCCTCCAGAGGCTAAAAGGGAACAAAAGACAGGAATAATGGATGCTGTAACTTTTGAACACATATCACATGACTGATGTTTGAATGTATTGATGGAGGAACTAAATGCTTGTAAATTAAAGCTCACATGCAATTACATATTGTTTCTAGGGCCGGGACTCGATTAAAAAAATGAATCTAATTAATTAGAGGCTTTGTAATTAATTAATCGAAATTAATCGCATTTTTAATCACATATAAATATTTGACCTGAGAACAGTGAGAAGCAATTTTTTTCACATGGATTTTAGTATACCATTAGGTGCATTCACACCGCAGTACTTTTCCCACAAAGGTTCATGAGAACTCTTTGAATTTGGGGGTGGATTAGGCAAATGAAGCCGCTGACGTCACTTCTTCTTCTTCTGCTTTGGGTTTACTGGCAGGCCGCAAACCACTTCACGGCGTATACTGCCGCCCAAAGTCCCCGGAGTTGGGGACTGGCTTCAGTAGAAGCTGCTGGGAGTCCCAGCAGCCTTCCGAGTAAATCGCCAGAACGCCGACACCTCCTCATCTCCACCGCTCCCATGTTTTATTTTGTGTTGCCATAAATTAGTCTCTCTGCGTTTCTGCGCTGGGCTAATGCTAATAATGCTAATGCGAGGATAATAAAATTCACAAAACTTTTTGGGAGTTTTACGGGGCGTGGTTTGCAATCCGCCCAGCCAATCAGAAATATAGCTCTTTTCTCACAAGAGAGCCGCACGAAAGTCCCTGCTCTCTAGCAGCTCTCTGCTCTCTAGCAGGGACTTTCGAGGGGGTAAAAAGGTTCTCATTAACTAATTTTAGTACCGGCTCTTTTTGGTGTGAACGCGATAAAAGAGGCTAACGTCCACGCTAGCTGCTATATGTTTTGCATTGAGGTGATACTTGAGGCTTGATGTGCTGCGGTGATATGCGAATTCCTTTTTGCATAATTTGCACACAACCGTGCTCTTATCGACGCTTCCATCCGTCCGTTTTTTAAAACAACATATCCCACTGTTGTTCACTGTGGTTTGTTGTTGTCTGAAGTCATGAACGTTAGTTGGTGCTCCAGTATAATCGGTACGCCTGAAACTCATCCAGTGAGAAAAGTTCCGCGGTGCAAAAATAAGTGCGATTAAAATGCGTTAATTTTTTTAACGCGTTAATTTTTGTGTAATTAATTCATCTTAATTAACGCGTTAAAGTCCCGGCCCTAATTGTTTCTGCCATTTTAATAAGTAATGACATACCACTGCTTGCATTTGGGGTTGGTACTGAGGGGTACTGGCTGGATTCTGGGAGGACTGTAGGACAATGAACATCAGGTGGCTTGGCAAATCTTCTCTTCACACAGCTGGTTTCTGACTCCCCATCTGACTCCATGTACACAGGATTTGGTCTGGAAAATAAAAATGAAACATTCAACATTCCCATTAATTGAACTAATTTGCCCCATTTCTGTAGAATGAGGCCGCTTGACGTACAGGTACACATAGAGATGACACTAGTCTATCACAGGACTGGAGGTGGGGTTTTTACTTATTGTTTACACAGAAACCAAGGATTATATATTTCAAGAGGGAGCGATCAAAGTAAACATCCTAAGCCTGCTTTCTCCACACTGGGAGTGCTGTGACCACTTTTCCATTGCATCTTATGAGCGGTTGGGTTCTTTTGGTTCCAGCCTATGCACGCATACTGGTTCTTATCAATGCGACGTTGTCTGATAAGGGTTAAAGTCAGGCCAGACATGGAACCTGACCTCCTACAGGAATTCAACTGTACCTTACTCTTCTTTTCCCACGTTCACCTGCTTCGTCCTCAGAGCTCAGATCAGTGGTTGGACATCCAGTATTCACATACTTTTCTTCGTATCGTTTGGCCTTTTCCAATGTGTCTGTAAAAGAAAAAGCATAAAATAATAGGATGACATTTTACTGACTAGTCTCACTTGTGACAGATATGTCATATGTGGTATGGCACCACACACATTCAAACTGCCATCCATAAAACGTGTGGATACCTATATACTTGAAAATAGACAATAGTAATGCAGTGACTACTTACCACAAGTAATCAAGAGCCGGACATTCGCATATGTGGTCCATCCTTTATGGGCCGTCATGTGTTCTTTAAGGGCCTTCAAATACATGTTTTTTGGGGGCCATAACAATTTACCTTCCTTTAGACTGAACCAGCTGGCAAGAACTGTTGCAGCTCCGCCATTTGGAAAAAGTACAACGGCCCAAAGCACCACCTCCCTTTCCATTCTGTATACAATAAAGGAAATAATGTAAATGATTAAAAAAAAAACCTGCTCATAAATCATAAGATGTCATTTACTCGCCCAGCAGTATGAGCGGTATGCTACTGCATATGAGCTATTGGAATAGCTATGAGGCCATTTCCTTCTGACTCTGGATACAGAACACATTTACGTTTGATACATCCAAGTTTACCAACCCCGATATTGTCACACAACTCTCTAACCTTGTGTGTACCTATGCATGAGGACTCGCAGGGATAAGTGTAATATGATTCTTGGTGTCTGAACCTTTTGTAGATCACATATACCTCATCTTCTTCCTGGACTATATTCTGCACTACTGCAATACTATGTCCCACCTCAATACAATTATCCCCCTGCTTTGTAGACAAGGTAAAACGACTACTGGAGACCTTTGTGTACTGTACAGCAACACCGAAATGTTGAGGGAGTGGACCATCAGTGTGGATTTTCTGTGAGACTGGTTCATCTGTTGGTAATGGAACCTCACAACGTGGCTGTTCTGACAACCTTTTGACCACCTGTTGTAGAGGTTGGTGTGGCTTGCGTAAAAGATGCTTTATTTGGCCAAGATAATTCTCAAAAGGGAATCCTGAAACATTATCTAAAGGTCCAAATTGTTTGTATTCATCGGCTAAATGTATAAGCTGGTGTACACTGAACACAATCTGATCCCTGCCATACAACTGTCTAAAGTGTTCCACAAAGGAAATCATCAATCTATGCGCTAATTCAACCTTTTGGCCAGAAATTCCAGGAGACAAAAACAAATACATGGCCACTGAAAACAACATAAAGTTGTCATAAATCTCACTGGGAAGGCAATCCTTCAGAAATACAGGACCCCAGTACAGTATGAAGGATCGGAGCTCTGTAGCTTTCCAACGATCCAGCTCATTCAAACCCCTTGGCTTGCGATTGAATTCACAAGGGGTGTGGGAATGTAACCCCAGCAGTTTGCTTGATATACTGTTAACAGTTTGTGAAGGAAGCCTAGTGGCTAGATTGCCCTTTAACCACATATTCAACAGTTTTCTCATCACACCAAGACAACAGAGGTGCATATAATCTATTGGGAATGAAGAAACCATCTTTACTGTCCCCGTTAAAGGACTGAGTGTCTGTTTCAAGTGATGTTCTTCATCAATCATATCACAATAACTTGAGTCTGTCCTGAGCTTGACATTTGTTTCAGGATAAGTCATTTTCTTCCTCCACACACCATGTTGATCACACTTGTCACACCCTGAATAGCCATTATGTGACTTGATATTCTTAACGTAGGCTCTGGCTGGAGCATCACACACAAATGAGGAAACCAGTACTTTCAATCGGTTACCATTATGAACAACGCCATTAGCCAGTACATTTTTAAGGTCGCTAATAAATTGCTGCAGATACTCAACAACACACTTGGGCTTGCTTAAACCACAAAAGATACCGACAATAAATGGGGACTTAGTATAATCACATTTCAGAATTGCAAGTATAGGCCAGAATTGAAGTCTTGAACTCTTAAAGAGAGGGAGACCATCTATGTTGAACTGTAAAGTAAGAGTTCTGAGGCTCACTGGTAAACTCAAACATTTAAATCGTGAAAGTATCCCTTGCACCAATCCAAAATGGTAGTACTCGCCACCTTGCATTTGAGTGGTTGCAACATCATGTTGTGTTCTAAGCAGAGTTCTTCCATCCTTAGGGAGCATAGGGTGAAAAAGCTTTAAGATGGACAGCAGAGCAGACAAAGCAACGAGACTGATTGAGTAGGATGTTGCCCAATATCTTAGGCTCCTCATAAGCAGATCCTGACTAGGCTGATGCTCGTCATGGCTGTCGGAGTCAGAATCTGATTCAACATTCCCAGCCACACTACCATCAGTATGATCATTTCCCATTTGTACATGATCTGATTCAACTTCATCATCTCCAGCTAAACTACCATCAGTATGATCATTTTTCATGTGTACATGGGAAGCTGGTGGTGTATCTAGTTGGGAAACGTGTGAGATTCTGAAGGGTGGTTCCCTATTCACACAGGGGTCTAAATGTGACTTGTTATTATAAAGAGTTTCCTCGTATTCCTTAAGGATATCTTTCTCCATGTCCCTTACAGTTCTGATGACACTACGTCTTTTAGACCAATAAGAAGCCATTTTAGGTAAAGAGAGGTGGCGCTGCTATAATTACTTTACTTGGCCTTGTGTATTGCAGTGATCCCCTCGACTCGTCTTGTAGTATAATCCTGAAAATGGAGGAAAACAAAGCAGATTAAAAAAAAGTATGCATAAACTAACAGTAAAAATATATATCAGCCTCCTGGTGCAATGCAAATATAACTGTACTGACGAAATTCCCTAGAATTACACGTTTTATTCCATGGGTCTTCAACCAGGAGTCCAGGACCCCTAGGACATACATTTTACCCAAATATCCTATATGATGCTTTAGCTTGACTGTATCAGACCAACTTTGATGTAATTTCTGTAGGATGTAGGGATGCCAGAAACTGACCATGATCAAAATCGGCGGGGTCGGTGTGTAGCAAGTTGCAGCAGCAGTCTGCGCAGGGCAGCCTGCGCTGCTGGCTTCCTCCAAGTTTTACAGTCAAAACTGGTGGTGTGACCAATGGCCATTTACAATTATTAATACTATTAATACTATTATTAGTCTATATTTTGGTTGAAACTAAGCCAGAAAAAAAAAAAAAAAAACATAAATAATAAAAAAATATATAGATAAAATCGAATTTTAAAAATAATCTTCGATTATGGAGACTGTAACGAATAATAGATTAATCGCTGGCATCCCTAGTAGGATGGTAGAGTTTAATGTCTTTAGATTGTGTTAGCTAGTGTATCTGCTGCGTTAGCTAGGTGCTAGCCAGGGCAAGAAAATATCAACTGCGTCATGCGATGAACTGTTTAATTAATTTATGATATAGGCTATATTATAACAAAAAATATGCACAATTTCACCCAAATATCCTAAATAATGCTTTAGCTTGACTGCATCAGTGGACACTTTATGTAATTTCTGTAGGATGGTAGAGTTGTCAGATTGTGTTAGCTAGCGCTGCGTTAGCTAGGTGCTAGTCAGGGCAATAAAATATCAACTGCGTCATGGGATGAACGACGTTAAATTTGTTGATGATATATATTATTATAAGTAATTAGTTCCCTCTTTTGCGCTCTGAATAGCCTAAAAAAACATAACAGGGTGTAACTGAGGTGAACATATAGAGTAGGCATGCACAACGGTCACGTTACATTTCTTACCGATTTGTGATATCTGTCTCTTCTCTTCAGGCGGCTTGGCGGCAACTGAACTGCCTGCCTTCCTCCACACCCTGAGGTGTACGCTCTTTCACGTGACCAACGTGCTTTCAAGATTAAGTGCAACGTGCAACAGGCATGACGGGTAATCTGTGACGTTTCGCTCTCTCAAAAATTGGGCCATTTTGTCTTCATGCACAGCAGCTCTCATAGGAAAGAACCAGACCCCGCCTCCGACGCTGGATCATGATCTCGCCCGAGAGGGGATAGCGCCACACGTTGAAACAATGTCAATTCAATGTAGGGAATTTCAACGTTGAAAAACCGGCATCTATATTACATTGATTCAACAACAATTTTTTCAAACGTTGAAATGGTATCTGTAAAAACACATCGAATCAACATTGATTTTTCAACATCAACCAAAAATAACCAATCTAACCAAAATCCAATGTTGAATTAATATATTTTGCTATCTGGGAATGTATCTACCACGACTGTGTAAATGCTATGCTATGCTAATGCAATGCTACCGAGGTAAACACGAGGGCTAACGAGCATTCCCAGACCTCAACACCGATGTTAGCACATGGCCTTACATGTACAGTATACTCCGGGTGATTTAACCGTACGGTCAGTAATTACAGTTGCCGTTCGTGTATTCTACCGAGCTACCATTAATAAGCTAAGCTAGAAGCTCTAAACTAGAGATGTTATGAAAAACATTGTTTTCATGCCAGCTACAATGAATGACCGAACGTAGCAGACTAACTGTATAATATTGCAATTGTAAGATGTTCTTGCTAAGCCTAGACTAGCTGTTAAACTGCATATTAGGTTAGCATATTAGCTGGCAAGCTAACTGTGTTGATTACTGATAGATAATCATAGCTGGAGAATTTTGTCTGCAAACACACACGAAATACTCATAGACAGTATACTCTGGCTGATTTAACGTACGGTCAGTCGCCAAACATAATTACATTGAAGTTGGCGGTCCTAGCAGCTATGCTACTGAGCTACAAAGAGTCTGAAATATTACGCTACATGGGAAAAGGTAGCAGACTATCTGTAGAACATTGTAATTGTAAAAGTGTTGCTTTTCTGAAATTGACTGTTTTCCTCGGATACAAAATTAATTGTATGAATACTATGTGTATCTTTCTTAGAGTACATCACAGCAGGAACACAATACCCACCGCTCCAGTACAGTCGGATGTCAAACAGACCGTCCACAGACTGTTTGTGTGGGAACTCAGAGGGTTGAGACACGGTCTGTGGGAACACAGACAGTGGAATGTAAAGTGTCCGCCATTTCTGTTGCTACACAGTTGGAACACTGAAATCGGCACACGTGAGAAGCAAAGGTAGACTATAACACTGACAAATCACAGATATATTACCTTAATTGTGCTTTTATTACATGTACAGCACTTGGGCTCGACCAAAAATCGTTTTTAAATGTGCTCTATAAATAAAACCTTATTTGATATTATTGTATATCACAGAAATACTGTTATGTTGACTACAAGAAATACAGTGCTGTTTGTAGTTTGTACATTTTTCATGAATTAAATTGTCAGATGTACACAAGTTGTTGGCCTTTTACAATGTATTAGTGTCTTATCTAATGTACATAGTATTTATGCACTTTTCCCTTTTTATTAACAGGCATCCAGGCCACGGTGTCTTTCAAAAGTGTTGGTACTAAAACTTCCACCTACACAGAAATCCCCTTGTCCTCTACACCAATAAAGGGCCCAGGATTGGGACCTCGCAAGAGACCTCGACTGGAGTTGGAGGAGGAACAAGCAGAGACGTCGACAGAATTTGAGGAGACTCTGGGTTCGAGTTACCACCCTGATGATACTGTAGAAGAATGCGACGTATCGTATCACTAATCCTAGGATAATGTGAGTACTCTTTAGAATGGGAATTTACAGTGATATGAATATGTATGGGGGTTTCCTGGCTATGAAATGTTTTCAGACAGAAGGGTGTCGCACTGACAGGCAATTATCATATGTATGTTATGGTTGATGATATATGAAGTGTGGAATTTCCACCACACCCTTGAATGTAGTCCATCACAGCACGTCATTTCCACACTATGGCTTGAATATTAACTTGTGCATGTGCTTTTTTTTTATCAGGTTTGTCCAAGAAACTTCTGAAACTTACACAGAACAAGGACTGTGACACGAAGTTGAAGAGGTGGCTGCGCAGCATAAAAAACCACGTCTACTGGAGTGCGACGAGCACAACCTCGGGGCCGGAGAAGGTGGCAAGGTGGACGTCACTGGTCAACCACCTACAAAACGTTCACGTGCATGATGACCCCCTGTTCCCCAAGTGCACACATCCTGTAGGAGCCGCAAGTGATGCAAATAAACCTTACCTAAAAGGTGGTAAGTTCAATATTTCACTTCCTTCATAAGATCAACAATATAGAATGTAAATATAACATTGTTGTTATGGCAAATTATTGTTGTAATGTTCTAATGTGCTGGTGATTTACCTAATGTCTTTGTCATTTTACTCAAGGCTCAATAACACTCGCCAGAGTTGAAACGATACTCACCAACAAGAGAGTTCTCAAAGATGTGCTAAAGCTAAGCCATCACTACCAGACCTCATCCCTGGAGTCCTTCCACAACTTAATTCTGCGTTTTACCCCAAAAAATGTGGTTTTCCCCTTCATTTGAATGTTGTGCAGGTAATACACTGTATACTTTATTCTGTAGCATCTTATAACAGTCACTGTTTAGTGGCATGAGGGTTTTATTCTGTCATAACACAAAGTCTCATTTTATTTTGCTATTCTATAGGTCGTGTCTAGCAGCAATGCATCACAACGAGAATGCTGGGCGTGACCAAGCGACAACTGCTGCAGGAAAACTTGTCTTCAAATTGGCTTATCCAAAATCAAAGAGGGGAGAGTGTACGGTCAAGCCTGTTAAGAACGACCCTACATACAGTAAGTTGTGAAATATTTGTTTTTATTTTTATTATTATTAACAGAACTTACATTTCAAATGATTAAAGATACAATGAACAATAAAAGTATTACATTAAATACAAAAAGTGAATAACAATAACAAATTATTTATACAATGCTTTCTTTTTCAGTCTATGTGGATGAGCTGACGAGGCTTGTGTTTCACAAAGTCTTTCTGGACCCTATACCCTTTGTGGACGAGCTGAAACGAATCCAGGTCCCAGAGGACCTGTCAACTCAATTTGACAGGCCCCCCAAGGAGGAAATGATTGTCAGCCGTTTATCCCGTTTCCCCCCAAAGGAGGTCGAAATCCTACATATTGTCCAGCCAGATCTGGAAACTCCTGGCGGATCTGGAGCACAACACACGACGGAATCACCACTCTGATGCCTTGCCCTAAATATCCCCAGCACCAGCTTACAAAGCTGCGATACGCAAGATATTGAAAACGCCTATCAGGAGAGGAATGGATGATGTACAGTGTATAAATATACATTCACACATTTTGTACATTTGTAAAAATAAAGTTTGATGGAAATACTTAGTAGCCTTTCTTTCCTGAATTATTTGCTCCTATAACATATCATTCATATATAGCAAACCATGATTTGATTTTTCATCAAACGGTAGTAGTTTATTACAGGTAACAATAACTTACTCTTCTTCCATTGTATTTGTCAAAGGTCCGAAACTGTATTTATAAATATTGTGGAGATTCTGCAGGGTGTATGGGTTCAAGCAGTTAGGCTCTAGTCCTGGGTGGTCAACCATGCAGTTAATGGGTTCTGGAACTTGCAGCATGTGTGTTACAACCTATGAAGGTAAGATGTGTTACAAAACACGTTTAGCAATTAAACCAACTATGGAAAGGTTTACAAAATAAACATTCAATTACTAAGGAAGTAATAAAAGTGCATATAATAGTCTATTGACTTGAAAAATATGTATGCTGTATATCTTGGTATATGTGTGCTACTGTTGGTGTTTTCAGCTAGCTGCCGACATAATGTAACTAAGCTAGGCTACCTTTCTTATGCTATTGCAGCACACGTTTTCTCCGTCACTTGGCATCAAAGCGCAGTTTCCACAACGGCACCTAAATAACAACAGTTGTAGGTGCATCTGATGACATCTGAAATGTAAGACATATACTAGATAAAAACGTACCACAATGACACTGTTTGGTCTGCTCTAGTGAACGGCGAGGCAAGACTCGCGATTTGGTCTATTCTAGGATCGAACGGAGGTTCGAAATTGTATGCTCCATACGCCATTGTATGTTATATGTAAGCTATCTATTTATCTATATAACTCTCTATCTATCTATCGATTCTCAAATATAGTATTGCTATGTTGCTAAGTACCCGCTAAACCACTTTAGGGCAGATGTCAACAGGGGCAGAGCCTCTCTGGTGGTTGACTAATCAGAACAGAGTGACAGAGCTGACCAATCGGAGCACTGGACGCACAGGAGGGTGGGGGCAGGAACTCCATCAAGCCGTTTAGCACAGGGAGTGAAAACTCATACTATACAGAGATAATGTATGAGAAATAGGGGTGTAACGGTATCCGTATTCGTCCCGTACCGTCACGGTTCGGACGTCACGGTTCGGCACATGCAGTCACACGGCGAATACGCCTTTTTTTACGAGTGGGAAAAAAGTCTGTCACTCAGGGCAGTATTACACTATATATAATCCAGGGGGCGGTATTGCGCCTAACAGCCAGCCGCCCGTAAATAAGAAATGAAGAACAAGAACAAAACAACAAAACGAACACAATACATGAAGAAGAACAGTTAGTAGCTATGGCGAGTTCACACAACACACAGGAGCTAGAAGACCCACCTGCTTCTTTTAAATCAGGTGTGTGGGAACATTTCGGGTTCCCTGTGGACTACAACAATGATGGGGTGCGAGTTGTGGATCGGACGAGGACGGTGTGTCGGCGTTGTTCGACAGCGGTGCGGTATGCTAGTGGTAACACGTCAAACATGCTCAATCACATCCGAGTCAGTCTCAGTCCCCAGCGAGAGGGTTTTCTCGACGGCAGGTGACATAGTTACCGCCAACAGATCTGCCCTCCATTCTCCTTATCTTTCTTACAGTGCAGACGCTTTTCTGCTTGCTCTTGCCTCTGCTTACTTTTTATGCTGATTTTCCTATTCTTATTCTCTGAAAACTTCGAGCAGCGGCTCCTGGACATTAACTTATCACTGGGACAGTTCATCTTCGTAAATAGACGGAGGGTTTCAGCCATATTTCAACATTTTTACGACGACGTCAGTCTTACAATAGCGTGGCCTAGCAACAGCTAAAGCCTGGTAGGCTACTGCTATTTAGCTTAAGCTAGTTGGTAGCAAAATGCCTCCGTTCTCTACAGATGACTTCCAGAAACTTATACAGAAGATGGCTGTGTTGGAAATGAAAATGCAACGGTTGGAAGTTAACGTGGAAGTGAATGGACTATGTCGTGGGAATGACACGACTTTACCAGTGTTGCAAAGTAATGGAGAAGGGTATGCTAACTCACAGCTAGTTAGCAGCTACAAGGATTCCAAGGAACAGGAGGGCTGTGTACCGGGTAATAAATCTACAAGTGATAGTCCTCCCTGGAACTCTCTGGGTGCAAAGCCTAAGAGTAAATCACTTCCATGGGATTTGGGAGGACGGATAACAGGCAGAGCCCAGAGCTCCGAAATCTGTGATGCGACCGGCTGGCCTGCATTGTTATCACCCAGGAAGAGCGCCTCTTCAACCCCTATTCATACTAGGAAACAGCAGTGGACAGCTGCTAAAGGGAGAATTACAAACAATCCTCCTAAACCACCAAGTGTGCCAATCCAGAACAGATACGCTCCGCTGACCGAGAACCGGAGATCTGATGACCTGGATAACCTGTCCTCTTCACGCAGCAGGGTAAGGACCAATAGCTACTCTAAAAGTAAAAGGCTAGAGGGAAAGCTAACGACTGGGCCTGAAACTCTGATTGTGGGTGACTCTGCTGTAAGAGATGTAAAAGGTCTGTGTAATAAGAACAACACCAAAGTACTCTGTTTTCCCAAGGATGTGGTCTCTGACTTGGCTGAGAAGATCCTGCATATTGGGGCTGAACATCCGATTGTGAAGAATGTGGTACTGCACATTGGAACAAATGATGTTGTGAAACAACAGTCAGAAGTGCTGAAAGAAGACTTTAAATGTTTGTTGGAAACTGCCAGCTCTCTAAATGCAGAGGTGTTCATCAGTGGCCCTCTACCGCCAGTCAGAAGAGGAGTGGAGAGATTCAGCAGATTGTTTGCACTGAACACCTGGCTTTCAACGGCCTGTACTGACCATTCTGTTCATTTTATTGACAATTTTAACTTTTTCTGGGATCGCAGACATCTTTTCAAGGCAAATGGAGTTTGCCTGAACAAGTCAGGAGTGAAATTGTTTATCTCTAACATATTCAACTGCCTGCATCATCAATCTGTTCCCTCTGCCAAGGACAAGCGGCAAGAGGAATCAAAACACGAAAAAGACACAACACATAACGCAGAAAACCCTGAAGAATTATCACTGCACCCGCCTGAGGAATGTTCTGATTATGGGAGACATATGAGACACATGGAGGAGTCTCCACTGCCCCCCCCCCCCCTGTCAACGCCTTTGAGGATACTCCGTTCACCCTTTCACCCTCGCCCACCCTCCTGGAGATCGATGAACACACAAAGGAGATACAGAGGGTTGGCACCGATTCCTTCCTGGAGTTCAAAGACCAAACGAAGGCGATACGCAGGGCTGGCACCATGTCCTTTACCCCCGCTCCTCAACGACGCCCACCAAAATCACTGCGGAGACGCCCACCATCTCCCCCGTCCTTATCACCGCGCCTACGTCAACCACCTCCCCCCCCTGGCAGCATGTCCTCTACCCCCGCACCATCTAGCCCGTCTCCATCACCGTGCCTACGTCGACCACCTCCCCTCCCTTCGGGGGGGCTTCTGCAGTCTCCGAAGCCTGATAAGGATGTGTGTGTACAAAACACAACAAACTCTTACTGATATGTGATGGGTCCAGGCTCAAGGGCGTATGGCACTCTCAACTCTTTCCAGGACATGTCGGGGCCCTGCCTGCCAGTAGCTTTGCCGATATCTGTGTTGATAGGTAATAGATTAAGAGCGGTGAATCATAGAAACAGGAAGCGCTCAAACGTTTGTGTGAGTGTATCTAATTTAGCAGTGATTCCATGTCAGCCACAGCTTGTTACAAAAAACATGACTGATAGTGTGTTTAACAAACTTAAACTAGCTTTATTAAATGTCAGGTCTTTGGCAGGAAAAACATTTTTAATCAATGATTTTATCACTGAGCACAATCTCGATTTTATGTTTTTAACAGAAACTTGGATTGAACAAAATAACAGTGCAGCTGTTCTTATCGAATCAACCCCTCCCAACTTTAGTTTTATGAGTCAGGAAAGAATGCATAAGAAAGGGGGTGGAGTTGCTATTCTGTTCAATGATTCCCTTCAATGCAGGAAGACATCGTATGGAAACTTTGATTCTTTTGAATATGTGGCCCTTCGGCTGAAATGCTCCTCTCGAGCTCTGTTCCTAAATATCTATAGACCACCCAAATACTGTGCAAGCTTTTTTGATGACTTTACTGAACTGCTGTCTATAGTGTGTATTGACTTTGACCGTCTAGTCATTGTTGGTGATTTTAACATCCATGTTGACAACCCCCAGGACAGAGGGGCTAAAGAACTGTTTTGTGTTCTTGATAGCTATGGACTGACTCAGCATGTGACGGAGCCCACGCACAATAAGGGGCACACTCTGGACTTAATTATCTCAAAGGGTCTGAATATCTCTAAGGTTGTGGTGACTGATGTTGCACTCTCTGACCATTCCTGTGTTTTCTTTGAGAGCTCTATTTCTGTTCACAAAAATGTTCAAAAAGAGGTAACCACAAAGCGATATTTAACTGAAAATACTAGGGAAATGTTTACTCAGAATTTTTCTTCCACACTTGCCCCTGCCAACATCTCAGTAAATGAGCTAGTAGATCATTGTAATTCAAAAATTAAAAATGTTATAGATGCCATTGCTCCAACTAAGGTAAAGGAAGTGTCTGGCAAGAAAATATCTCCATGGAGAAAGGCCATGACCGTGAAAACAGAAAAAAGAGAATGTCGAAAAGCTGAACGCAGGTGGCGA